GGGGGGGGGGGGGGGTTCGCCGGAGGTGAAAGGCTCAGTGGCGGATAAATTGCAGGCGGCAATTTTTTTTTATTTTTTTTTAACACCGCAGATGGCGAGGGAGAGATAGATATAAAGAGCTGAGTGATTCTCAGTCAAAATTTAAAGAAGTGAGAAGGAGATAGGGGAGAATATTGGGGAGAACGTGCGGTTCATATACAGAAGAATCGGTATCAGATTTTTGAACTGGAGATGTTGGTGACTTGGTCGCAGCTTGGGAACAAAAGTAAATGGATCTTCTGTTAATTAACTCAATTGGACGAAGAATAAATTTGATTGTTAATGGGCCAAGATTTAAAAAGGAATTTAGGCTTAAGGAATTTAATTTCTCAAATGGCCCAAAAATAAGTCAATAAACTTATGAGCTACAAATAATTTTCAATTGGGTCGAGGATAAATGGACTAACAAGAACTCCCGATCGATTCGATTGACGACGAAAATAAATTAATCCGGATTATCTATATTTATAATACACGCAATATATATTTATATATTAATAATAGGCATTTAAAACAATTAGACATTTAATCACAAATAAATATTCACTAATAATAATAATAATAATAATAATAATAATAATAATAATAATAATAATAATAATAATAATAAGCAATAGTAATGGCAATAACAAACAAGTAAATAATCTCAAATAATTCTAATTCAAACGGGGCGTTATAGTCTACCCACCTTACAAAGAATTCCGTCCTCGGAATTCGAAAATAAACTAGAAAGCGATAAAATACAAAGGAGAACTCATAACTCAAAGTTCGGATAACACCTCCTAATATCATCCTCCCTCTCCCAAGTCGACTCAGTCTCATCGTGCCGGCTCCACTGCACCTTCACTAAGCTCACTGCCCGGTTCCTCAGCTGGTGGACCTTCCAGTCCAAAATGGCTGTCGGTACCTCATCGTAGGTAAGATCTCGCTCGACCTGCAGCTCGCCGAAGTCCACCACATGATCAGGAGTATGCACATACCTCCGAAGCATCGAGACATGGAACACGTCGTGCACACCCGACAATTCTGGTGGTAATGCCAGCCGATGCGCCAAGTTCCCGACTCGGTCGAGGATCTCAAACGGCCCGATATAGCGAGGTCTAAGTTTCCCCTTCTTCCCAAAGCGAATCACACCTCTCATGGGTGAACCCTTGAAGAAGACATGATCTCCCACTGCATAAACATGCTCTTGCCTCTCTCGGTCAGCATAGACCTTCTGCCTCTCTTGGGCAGACCTGATAGTTCTCCGGATCTCTTCAACTGTCGCTGCAGTACTCTGAACAAAATCCGGACCCGTAATCCTTCTCTCTCCAACCTCATCACAATACAAAGGAGTCCGGACCTTACGTCCGTACAAAGCCTCGTACGGGACCATCTTGATCGAAGAGTGGTAGCTGTTGTTGTAGGTCAGCTCGACTAGCGGAAGGGCATACTCCCAAGTCAAGCTTCGGTCCAGGACCACAGCCCTCAATATATCCTCCAAGTACTGGATCACACGCTCCGACTGACCATCTGTCTCGGGGTGGAAGGCTGTACTGAACTCCAACCTCGTCCCCATGGCTCGGTGCAACGTCCTCCAGAACAGGGATGTGAACTTGGCATCTCGATCCGAAACAATCTCCACGGGCACCCCATGAAGCTTAACAATGTCCTTGACGAACAATTCGGCGTAATCACTCGCCTTCATGGTCGTCCGGACTGGCAGAAAATGGGCAGACTTCGTAAGGCGATCCACTATCACCCAAATTGAATCATACCCGCCCCTCGACTTCGGCAATACCACTAAGAAATCCATGGTGATGCACTCCCACTTCCACAGGGGAACCTCAAGGGGCTGCAACAACCCTCTCGGTTTCTGGCGCTCAGCCTTCACTTGCTGACACACCAGACACCCATCCACGAACTTCGCTACCTGCCTCTTCATGCCTCGCCACCAGAAAGACTTCCTCAAGTTCTGATACATCTTCGTGCTAACAGAATGGATGGTGTACGGGGCACTATGGGCCTCTCTCAGAATCTCCCTTTGTAGTTCCCACACCTTCGGAACACAAAGTCTACCCTCGAAGACCAAGGCCCCATCAGAAGTGACTGCGAATCCTCCAACTTTACCAGCTGCTGACAACTCCCTCATCTGACATACAAAACGGTCATTCGGTTGCTCGGCGACTATCCTCTCTCGAAGAGTCGGTCCCACAACCAAGGAGGTCAACACGCCCCCGGCTATCGAAGTCGACTCCACTGCCTCTAACTGTAATCGCTCGAACTCCCGAAGAAGAACATCCTGCCTGGTGAATAAGCAAGACAGCTGGCTATAACTCCTCCGACTAAGGGCATCGGCTACCACATTAGCTTTCCCAGGATGATAGCTAATAGAGCAGTCGTAGTCCTTGACCAGCTCCAACCATCTACGGTGCCTCATGTTCAGCTCCTTCTGAGTGAAGATGTACTTTAGGCTCTTGTGGTCGGTAAAGATCTCACACTTGCCTCCATAGAGGTAGTGCCGCCAAATCTTCAGGGCGTGGACAACTGCAGCTAACTCGAGATCATGAGTGGGGTAGTTCTGTCGTGAGGCTTCAGCTGCCTCGAAGCATAGGCCACGACTTTCCCCTACAGCATAAGGACACATCCCAAACCCATCTTTGAAGCATCACTATATATGGTGAACTCCAAAGTAGGGTCGGGTATGGATAGGACAGGCGCGATAGTGAGTCTCCTCTTCAACTCCTGGAAACTCTCCTCGCACTGAGGACTGCAATCAAACCTCACGGCTTTCTTCGTAAGGTTGGTCAGTGGTTGGGCTATCTTCGAGAAGCCCTCGATAAACCTCCTGTAGTATCCTGCTAACCCCAGAAAACTACGAATATCCGCTGCACTTCTCGGTGTATCCCACTTGCTCACTGCCTCGATCTTGCTGGGATCCACCTCAATGTCTCGAGTTGTCACAATGTGGCCAAGGAATGCCACGCGGTTCAGCCAGAATTCACACTTCGAGAACTTAGCATACAACTTCTCGCGGCGAAGAGTCTCCAGTACAATCCTCAAATGCTCCTTGTGCTGATTGATATCTCGGGAATAGACCAGAATGTCGTCGATGATCACAATGACAAATTGGTCCAGATAGGGATGAAAGACCCTGTTCATAAGGTCCATGAAAATGGCTGGGGCATTGCTGAGTCCGAACGGCATGACTACAAACTCATAGTGGCCATAGCGGGTACGGAAAGCAGTCTTAGAAATATCCGACTCTCGGATCTTCAGCTGATGATAGCCAGAACGCAAGTCAATCTTTCAGAAAACGCTGGCTCCTCTCAGCTGGTCGAAAAGGTCCTCAATACGGGGAAGGGGGTACTTGTTCTTGACTGTAAGGGCATTCAACTCCCGGTAGTCAATGCACATGCCCATAGATCTGTCTTTCTTCTTCACGAATAGGACGGGCGCACCCCACGGCGAGACACTCGGACGAATAAAACAGAGCTTGAGCAACTCCTGGATCTGGGCCTTGAGCTCTTGAAGCTCCTTCGGTGTCATACGGTAAGGGGCCTTAGAAACGGGTCAGGCTCCTGGAATTAGGTCAATGGTGAACTCCATCTGGCGGTCGGGCGGTCCTCCGGGCAAAACATCAGGAAAGACGTCGAGGTACTCGCAAACAATAGATACTCTATCGGGCACCCGCTCATCAACAACATCGGATACCAAGGAAACAAGATAGCCTTGACAGCTACCCTTGGAAAGGCTCTTCCTAGCTTGCATAGAAGAGATGACCCGAGGCACAGTCCTCGAACTCACCCCAAAGAACACAACAGGTTGATCGGAAACGGGATAGAGGGTGACTTCACGCTCCTGGCACTAGATGTCGGCTCGGTAACGGGTGAGCCAGTCCATGCCCAAGATCATGTCAAAGTCTAGCATATCAATTACATAGACGTCGGCCTCCAGAACTCGACCACCAATACAGATAGGAAGATTGCGAACCACTGAATCAGAGATAATAATTTTTCCCGAGGCTAAACTAACCTCGAGAGGATCACAAGCATGCACGGTGCCAATAGATAAAACCTCCAAGCAACGAGAAGAAATAAAAGAATGGGTAGCACCGGTATCACATAAAGCAAAGACAGGCACATGGGATATCGAAAGCATTCCGAACATGGTACCTGCATTGCGGGCGGCCTCATCATGGGTGATGGTATAGACTCGGGCCTGACCCCAGCCCTCTGCTGGATCGGTGGGGGCTGCTGATGCTGCTGATGAGGTGGCGGTGGGGGAAGCTGCTGCTGACGCTGCTGGGCAAAGGGCGGCTGATGCTGCTGTCTCTTCGGTTCGGGGCAGACACTGGCATAGTGACCCGGACGGTTGCAATTGTAACAAGCTCTCTGGTCTGCTAAGCACTCTCTGGTGTGGAACCTGCCGCATTTAGGGCACCTCGGATGTTGACCCTGAGTGGGTCGGTCGTCACGTCTGCCGAAGCTTCCTTTCTTTCCCTTTTTCTTGTTCTGATAATCGGACTTCCTCTTGCCCGAGATAGAGCCGGGCGACACAGATGAGATGAACAACGGTCTGAGAAGGCTGTGATAATATAAAGGGACTGGGGCTATCGGAATGAAACAGCTCTCTACCTCCTGAGCTCGACTAACAGTATCTGCGAAAGACATCGGCCCGTGACTCCCTACCAGTTCACGGATCCTCTGGTTGAGCCCCTTAAGAAACTTGCGGGCCTTCTTGGCATCGGTATTCACTGCGTCGCCCGCAAAAAGGCACATACGGGTGAAAGTGCGGATATACTCATCCACTGTGGAGCTGCCCTGCTGCAAGTGGTAGAACTCATGCTCCATCCTATCCCAAAAGCTCTGGGGAAGGAACTTGTTGCGCACCATCACTTTCATTTGCTCCCAAGTGAGAGCATGAAGCTCCGCCTCTAGCCTCCGAGCCCAGTGGTCAATCCACCAGTCAGAGGCGTCCTCCTTCATCTGATAAGCTGCGAGGGATACCCACTGACGGTCTGGGAGGGGGAGTACCGCAAAAATCTTATCCAGCTCTTTCATCCACTCCAGCACCGCTGTGGGGTTCTCAGTCCCCGCAAACACGGGTGCATTCATTCTCTGAAACTAGACGATAAGCTGAGTGAGGTCCATGGCCAGAGGGGCCTGGTGCTGACGAGGCGGAGAAGGTTGCGGGGATGCCTGACGGTTACGGTTGTTGTTGCGAGTATTCATACTTCTACATTGAATAAGCCGAACAAAGTTTAGCACAAAAACAAACAAAATAATTAATGCTTATAGAAGTCTAGAGTTCGCCAATAAACACTAGAGTTCGATTAAATCAAGGTGGATAGATCCTAAGCCCCACAAATAACAAGTACCTCACAAGTAGTTTCATTACCACATGTGTTCCATTTACATATCAAGTATTTTCATTAATACTTAAATCAAACATACCTTAAGTAGCGCGGAGTGACGGAGACGAGTGGTCATAACACAAGGTCTAAACACATATCACATATGTGCCAGTCTACAGAAGCGCAGACTGGCTCTGATACCAAACTGTAACACCCCACTTTGATTTTAAAGAAATTCCGGACTTTCTAAAAATCAGAACAAATTTTTCAAATTCATTTTCGAAATCAAGGGCATTAACCAACACAATTTACTTAGTCCAAGTCTTATCTGGACTCACGGGGATTCATAAACCCGATTTTTACAAGGTTTTCATTAACCTGATTCACACCTCAACATAATATCCCATATGAACAACTGAAACTTCATAAATCAAACACCATGATTATTCAAGGTTCAAAAGGGTTTTCCAAAATGTTTTCAAACATGAAAACATAGTTCGAAAACAATTTTCACATGTCCAAAACATAGAAGGTTCATAACGACCATATTATTAAAGCGGAAGCAAAATAAAACAAATAATAAACCACCACTCGTCCTTCGTCCCGTCACCCGGCCACTGCTTAACCTGCATCCGTGAAGAGCAGGTGGGAATGAGCACAAATGATAAAGTAGTGCTCACTACTATGCACATAATAACATGTAAAGATGGTATGGTCGCAGCATGAATATAAATCAATCATCATCATGTCTCATCTCCTACAATCACAACAATAACTCACTCATGTGCACATCTATCATTAGCCGCAGAAAGGGGATGCATAAACCCTAACGATGGGAGTGCGTGCCACTGTAACGGACACAGCCTTTCATTAGGTCTTAAGGAGACTTGCCTCGCAAGGGCAACCGTACCGTAACTCGACGGGAACAACTGTACTGACGGCCGTAACAGCTCACATCGGTAGGCCACATGGTTCACATTCATACATTGGTCATACCAACTAAACATTAAACAACACGTATGGCATAGACAATTTTTACAAGTAAACCCACCTAGAATTTCGGTAGAAAATTGCACACAAGAGCAAGTACGTAGGATGAGGCTCGACTCCTCAAACACCAACATTTAAGCGAGATAATATATCAATAATCTATCTCACTACTCGAATTTAACATAAAACCCATACTTAATAAAAATAAAGACTTAAGGGTTTTAATCGGATTTTTCGTGGACTTGGAACTCTCTCATTTTTGAAAAATAAGACTCGGAGAGTAAAATTTAGAGTCTCGGGACTTAAAATATTTTTTCCCAAAATTTTATTATTTTAAAGATATTCTTAAAATTGAAATCGGTACGAAAAAGGGCTCTGGAACACAAAAATTGGCTTAAAATGACAATTGGACTGCACAAGCCACTGTTGGGCCGCTGCATATGCGAATTGGGCCGCACAAAGGGCTGGCCCAACACTTTCTAAAGGCTGAAGGCACGCGGGCTTCATCTGCTGAGACAGGGGACGGGCTGCGCGCGGGTTGGAATCGGGCCCTAATTACGCAAGGGAATGGATTCGAACCCCCGACCTCCCTCACGGAATAGCGCCCAGATGACCACTGCACTACATGCTTTTTGGTTCCTTTCTATGAAATGAAATATTACTAGATTTTGAAAGGAGGCCTGCGAACTACTGAACAGAGTTTAGAAAATTTTTGCAGACTGCAACCAGAGACTCATCCCGCGACAATATCAGTTCAACCAAGGTTCTAAAATTTTCAGAAAATGAGAAAATAACCTTACTTTCTCAGAGTTCAAGTATTTTTGAAATCGGGATTAAAAATTGTTCGAAAACGAAACGACACAGTTCGAAAACCAACGAACAACACCTCCACGGCATAGTTCAAAATAGCAAAGCGAGACTCCGACCAAATCGAATAAATACAGCAGCAACATAAAGGGTTCGACTTTCATAAACAAGAGTCCGAATTATCCACGAATAAACGAAATATACATACAAACAATTAAATGAACTAAAAGAAATCCGACTTCAAATCAAATTTCGATAGATCGAACACAACATATATATAACATGTGATATATGAAAACGACCGTAATAACGAGAGGATTCGAATAAGTTACCCGACTTTGGGAAACTACGAGTTATCGAACGGGAAACGGGCCCGACAGCGGGTCGAACAACCGGCTTTGGGACTCTGAACTCGAAAGCTTCGGGATACGCAGCTCACAAACGGCTGCTGCTCTGGAATCGACGACGGATGGTCATCCGCTGCGGAGGTGCTCACCGAGATTAATGGCGGACGGCGAATAGGCTTCTGTGACAAGTCAGGGAACTTCGTTTGTCGACGCTTGTCCCTTGTTGCTTGAGGACGGACGACAGTCACTCAAAAAAAGTGATCTGCAGCGTCTCTGCTGGGGGGGGGG